ACCTCAGCAAAACGGAACTGATGCTGTTTTCTATGAAACAAAAACAGCACAATTATGGCTTCCCTCCCTTAATGGAACAACTCTCACATTGTCTTCCGAGGCGAAATACTTGCGTTTCGTACTAGACTCCAAACTGAGCTGGAATATAAATATAGAGAGGCGTCTGGAGAGAGCCCATTATACATGCAAAAGAATATTCAGTAGGAACTGGGCATTAAAGCCAAAGCTTGTCCTCTGAATGTACACGGCTATCATACGACTAATACTATAACGTACGCAGCTGTAGTTTGGTGGCCAGAACTGGATAAACAATACACCGTGAAGAAATTAAGCAGTATACAAAGATCAGCTTTTGTTCAGGTGCTGCAGCGCCATGGAACTCCACATCCGCGAAACGGCTGCGTTCTCGGCAGTCAGGCTGCTGGAGCGCGCTGCGGCACGGTCATAGTCGTATTCTTCACAAGCTTGTCGAATCAGGGAAACATTCAGATTATATAACTCTACGACAGAATTCAGGAAAAACGTTCAGGTGAAATTTCCTTCTAGACGTGATTGTAGTAGGGGCAGGAAAGTCGAGGAGAATTCCACTGAAATCTATACTGGCGAGTCCAAAAATGGACTGCGGTGTGGTTGCGGGGTGTTCTCCGAAACGTTGAATGTCTCTCTCTCCCTCGTTTCGACTACCACACTTCCCTAGTATCTTCCAAGCGGAAGTACTGGTAATCGAAAGGGCCTGTAAAGCATTATAGAGTAAGTGCGTAGGAGTATGAAAAGCATACATTTTCTCAGATACCCAAGCGTCACTTCTGATACTTTCCTCACCGGTAGCAAAGTCCAAAACAGTCAGAGTTTGCAAATGTGCGTTAAGCGCGGCGGCCGAGTTAACAGACATCTCTTTCATCTGGGTTGCCGGCCATAGGAACATACGCGGAAATGAGAGGGCTGATGACTCGGCTAAAGCCGGAGCATCTTTTGATGAATCCGAAGCAGAGACAATAAACTGTCCACTCGGGCTCATTCAAAAGGGATCTGGAACAACCTTCAAACATGCAAAACTGCGAGGAACACATGGCGGCATTTGACAAGCCAAAGACAGACGAACTTCTAAAGAGGTTTAGGAAAGATAAAATCGAATTAACAGCGACAATAACGGGACATTGGCACATTGGTGAACATGCAGCTAAAATGGTCTTTCCATACAACCCTCGGTGTCGTATAAGGCATAACAAATCCGGGAGTTTTTCCATCCAAAATCTTTGGGAGATCTTCAAATTCACCATTACTAACCTAAATATATTCATCGGAAAATCCAAATGGTTTGACGAACCCAACGAATCATGAAAGCAGATGAAATCAAGGATCCTAGAGAAAGCGTATCAAAATGGTGCTAACAGCACTAATTAGGTTCTGGGAATGTACTCAAGCAACGCTTCTACCAACCAACCAACTAACCCATTCCTCCCCTTGTCAGCAAAAGTGTGCAAAGTTTTTACCCGCCTCTTCCTACTATGCTTACGTAGTTGTCGGTCTTCTTTTTATCTGCCAATGTTTCTTTATTGTTATACATGACCATCAGTGATCAAATCTAGAAATGTGGAATTTGAAGCCTAAACATTTTACGTATATTTGATATTGGCTTTAAATTGGAAACTACTAAATTAAAAAAAAAATATCAGAAAACTGAACACATAAATAAATATTGCTGACGTAATCAATTAAAAATCCAGGTCTAACAGTCCATTTCATTTGCTTCTTAATAATTCTTTGTATCCCTTACATTTTCAAGTGAGCATTTCTTTTTAAATTTTCGAGTACTTTGTGTTTAATTTTCACTCTATTCTTCATATTTGCGCGTATTTGTCACCTATGAGTAAAAGGAATCCGCCGCTGCACAGTGGCTCAAAATTGGCATTTTATGTTCACAATTAACTGAAGCCTCACTCTTTTAAATGAAAACTAATAAAATTTGCAAGAGACTAGTTGAGCCCGATTTTTGAATTTTTGTTTATTTGTATTAAATTTTTTAGTTCAAAGTGCAGTAAAAGTAGCAAATTTGAAGAAAATGGATTCTCCAGTTCCAGTTAATAAATGTTACATAATAAAAACTAGTTGAAAACAAATGTAGGGTTCTCCCGGTGCTGCAAAAAACAAAATGCTGGTACGTTTTATGTCATGTAGTAAGGATAGTACAGCAGTTCTAAAAAAAAATAATTTTGGCATTAGCAGAATTTTAAATACACCCCCAAAATCTTAAGTTATGATCAAAATACCGAAAATCTGGATGTTGGGTCTAAACACCAGTCATAGATTCGAACGGAAACGGTTTTTCATTATCGTATGTTCATTTTTTTTTTTAATTTTAGGTTATGCAGTTAAAAGGATTATAAAATTTTAGTAAACTTAGTACAAGTTTTGAGCGGCTAAAAAGTGCATTGATTTCTAATAATTTTTTTTTATGCTGGCTTTTTCGTTTTTTTTTTTGTTTTATATAAAAAGCGAAATCTAGGGAAACTGGCATTGACTTTTCTATTTTTTTCGCAAAAGGTCTTGCGCATATTCTTCCACAAAAAAATCATGTTTATGGATATAGTGCAAAACGCCGTCAACTAAAAGAAATATATATATATATATATCAAAAATCAATGCGATTTTTTAGCCGCTCAAAACTTGCACTAATTTTAATAAAATTTTGTAATCCTGTTAACCCACCCAAAAAATTAAAAAAAACATTCTGGTTTAAAAGCTCGAAATTTAGATAAAATTTTTTGGAATTTTTCCGAATTTTATATAAAGTTTGAAAGCGTGATTTATATGGTTTTTGTTAAAGCATGAACCATATTTTTATACAAAAATATCAGAAAAATTTTAGCTTGAAAAAGCTTGTAAATATTAAAAACGAAACAGCATTCATCCACATTTGACCGCCACTGTATCTATATCGTTTGAATTTGAGCGCCTGGACTTCCCTAAACCTGCCTGCTCCGTCAAACTAATGTCTATCTTAGTCGTAGTAGTTCTGCTTTAAATGTGTGAAACATGTATGTATGTCTATTGTACAAATAAAAATGGCATCATTCCGCTTTGTGCAACCAACTGCATTAATGCTTTTCTATTGCTGAGTAAATAATTTTTTATCAACAACACTCAAGAGAACTACATGCATAGCGACCGGTGCTCATCGAAAACAACTATCTAAGTATTTACAAGTATTTGTGAACCTGCGTCAGTACTTAAGCAATACTAAAGCACGTAAAGGACTTACACATTGTCCTAAGCACATGCTTGCCTTGAAAAGAACGGTGTGAAAAATATCATAGAAGAAAAGCACAATAATCGAATTGAGTGCCATGGCACGCTATATATATATATGTACGTCAGTTGGCGCAAAAAAAAAGCCGAAACGCTTGAGGTGTAGCTGAGCGATTTATTGCATGTTTTGTTGATTGCAAAAATCAACACACACACACACACGCGTATGCATCGGTTTATGGGCATACAAGTGGATTTATGTAGTACGAGTATGTATGTATGTATGTATGTATGCTATATGTACTAACCGATATGCAGTTAGTATGTTTATAGGTCGGTATTTACCGTTAAATATACAGTGGCAGCTAGCTATTGTTTAGCGAATTAAGTATACACTTTTCACGCCCACTCGAAAACGCCTTGACGAATATTTTGCACAGATTACGGGTGCAATAGAGCATTTGAGTTCGTGTTATTCGGTAATGGTTCAAGTTCAAAGCCAACAAAATTGTTGTTAGCCATATACTTGGAAAGGAAATCGTGCGGTTGCACGCGAAGGAATAAAAATTACTGATTAGGTATTCTTGCTTTCGAATAAAGGGTGGTCCAATTGTAAGTTTTCTTAGGTTAATTAATGAAATAGGTTTTCGGAAACAGCAGCCGGCAGCAGAGAGTAGGCTGTCATGGTCTTAGAAAGGTAGTTTTGAGTGGAATGGAAATTGTGGGAAGCCCCAAAAAGAGTTTACCAGCTCTCTGGCAATGTAGCCCGCATTAAGCGGATGTGGAAAGGCTTTCTGGTGGACACAATAGGAAGACTACTTCTTTGGATGCTTAGCAAACTCTTTTTTGAATTTAAGTAGTTCTTAGGGGGTAAGCAGTGTAGCTCGTTCTCTCTTAGGTTCTCAAAACCTCCGATCCAATACCGGCTCTCCCTGCTATGCTTGCACCTAAAATTGGCTCCGGTCCAATTAGGCGGTCGCCAATTCATTAGCTTGGTCGTTGCGGTTTCGAAGGCCTAAGGAGAGCTTGACCCTGATTTGATGTTCACGCAACCTTTCGCCACTTATCCCGTCTGCTACTTTAAATACTTCCGATTGAAAGACATCTGGAGAGCGTGCGTTCTTTCTGGATGTTTGGAGGCGTTTGATGCATCGTATTCCATCCGAGTATCGCGATGAAATACTAAAATTCGTATTCTTATCACCAATCACTTCCTACACTCGCCTGATTTGGCATCCTTTGACTTCTATCCATTCGGTGAAATGCATTTGGGCATGAAAAGGCATTACCATGCCAACGTAGAAGCCAATCAAGGGGCTTGTATCAATATTTTGAAGAACGTGCCGTCAAATAGCCCCAAACGCTTTTGGATTGCGTAAAAGTTTAGAATGAGGGATACTATGTATCCACATTAGGGTGCATCACTCTCCATACAAAAAAAAAATCGGTACTATTTTTCCATAGGAATTATAAAATAAATAAATTTTAAGGCTTGCGCCAAAATATTCAATATTTCAAAAGAAAATTCTATAAATATTTTTCCTTAAAACTTACCCCAGATAATAAAAAGGTTCAAACTTAAAAGGTCTGCATAAAAATATTTAAAAATTTTGTCAAAGGTATCAAAACAATTTGTAGGTATTTTAAAATCGGTTCAGCTCAAGTAAATCTTAATATTTTACCGAAATATTTTGGCATACGTCTTAAAATGTAANCAACAACCGAATGTGGCACTATGCAACGAAACCGAGTTCCCCAAACTAACACCGCCGAAATCGACAAAGGGTGGTGGTGGCGCAGGAGGAGGTGGAGGTGGAGGTGGGGGCGGCGGTAGCGGTAGCGGCAGTCAGCGCAATAATAATAACAACAACAACAGCAGTAGTAGCAGCAGCAATAATAGTAATGGCGTTGCTGAGGGCAGCAACAAAATAGAATACAACAACAACAATAACAATAGCAGAAAAATGACAAACACCGGCTCAAATGGCGGCGGTGGCAATAGCACCTATGATTCCACAAAAAATATAACTTCTAACAACACCAGCAACAAGCATCAGCAGCAATACAGTGCAAGCAACGCTTTGCATCAAGCGCTAAGCATTGCTGAGTCGTCGACGGGGCGTGGTGGTGGTGGTGGCGGCATGGGTGGTGGCATGGGTGGCGGTGCCAGCACATCGCTGCACAATTCCGGCATGAACTATCAACTAAATTCAAATGATAATCAGCAGCAATCACACCATCAGATCGCCTACGACAAGGAGAACCGATGCCCACGCAACGACAGCCAGAACAGCAACATGTCGAATATGCACGACGATGAGCCGCAACAACAGCAGCAGCATTACGAGCGCCAAGTTGGTGGCGGCAGCAAGAAACATCGCACCAACTCCAATTCGAAGGGCAACAAACCGCGTTTGAAGAATATTGGTGGCTCTTCGTCGGGCAGCGTGGATGGTGGCAATTCGAATAGTAACAACACATCGGGCTTCATTTCAAGAGGTGCGTAATGGCAATGTATTAAATCAATTTAATATATTCATAATTTTTAGTTTTCAACAACTCAGAGAACTCGAGCGAACAATTCACCGATCATGGCGGCACCGATCTGTTCAGCTTCTTCAAGGAGACGCTCAATAAGCATCCAAAGGACAGACATTTCCTGCTAAAAGTGGAAAAGGATCTAACAGAATTTGTGCAGGAAAAGAGGTGAGTGGACGAACTTACGATTAAAATTTTTTTTTTTGGTTGTCTCAGCATATTTGGCCTTATATTCATTGGCATTATTTCCTTTTTAGCCGCGGTGAGTTGCGCTTCCCACCGGCTTCTTCGTACAACCGCATGTTGATACATCGCACAGCGGCCTTCTTTGGCATGGAGCACAATGTCGATACCGAGACACAGCAATGCGTTATTGTGGCAGCCACCAAAAACACACGCATACCCGAGGTGAGTAATGATCGAAATTTCCACTTATCTAATTCAGCTAACAATCGCTTAACGTCATTGCATTTTATCTCCAGATTCGCTTCAAATCGTTGGTGCGCGATCATCGCGAGGATTCACGCAAATCAATATTGAAGCGCGATACGCACAGTTTCGATGAGGCACGTCAAAGTAGTTACCTGTGTCCGGATCGTGGCAGCATGCTTGATCGCAAGGCAAAGAGTTTTGAAGAGCGCGAGGAGGACTATGAACGCGCGCGCAGTCGCATTTTCAATCGCAGTCAAAATGACAGTGGTGAGGGCATGGACGATGGCTACATGAATGTCAGCTGGACGCAATCGGTGGAACAGCAACAGCAGCAGCAGCAGCAGCAACAACAACATCAGCAAAATCGGCCACGTCCCAATGGCAAAATGATGAAAATGCAGAATGTAATAGATTGACTAGTTCGAATCTTAACGAATTTCTAACTCGTGTGTAACTCTTTTTTTACAGTCAAATGATTCACGCGATGGCCGTTCTGGCGGCGGCGCTGTACCCAAAGTGCACAACTACAATAACTACGGAGGCGGACCATCACAAGGTGGTGGCGGTGGTGGTGGGCCGCCTATGATGCGCGGCGACTCGGCAAACTCAAACAAAAACAGTGGTGGTGGTGGTGCGCGTTCATTTTCTAAACAAGATCCAGCTGGCAGCACAAATACACCTTGGCGCTTGTCGCCCTCCAGCAGCGGGTAAGTGTAGCTTTAACAGAATGAAACAATTTACATACTTTAAAGTTATTTTGTAAAGTTTCTCTTGCATCCAAGATAAATTCGTTTACAAATTGTAATTTACAATAAAAAAAATTATGGCTTTTGGCTTAAAAGTTAGCTCATTACGAAATTAAAATTAATTGAAATTTAAGTGATTTAATTCATTTTTTATTATATTTTACTATTATTGCCATGAACGTTATAATTTTTACAATTATTTATAACCATCACTGCCCAAACTACAAACTACTACAATCATAGTTATAAAACTCAAACACAATCTGTGCATTCCGATTCGGTAACACCATCACCGAATGGCTACTGTAGCGAGGATCAAGCGTCGGAGCCATTAATTATAACGCCGGATGGAATTACAGTTTGTCACCTACAAACACCAGTCAATCTTCATTTGCAGCCTACGATTCTATGCAGTGCCGGCGTCATGCCTGCGCATTGCATGGACGAAGCGGGAACGCCAACTCCAACACCAATTGCGGATGACACGACGCTGCCCAGTCGTGGTTTAGTGTGGGCCGTAACCGATATTTCTAGTGTGCCAAAGGGCAGCGTGCTAATTAATCCGCAAACATTGCAACCATTTGTTAACCAAGACGGGTAATTTACAAAACAAAAAATGTTAAATTCAAAAATTATATTTTTTTTTTAAATTAATAACCTTGCTGCGACAGAAAAAAATTGCGTTGACGCTTAATCATAGTCCGGAGTGTAATGGTATATGAATGGAAGGAAGGCTTCAGAATCCCTTTTTTAGCATTTTATTTTTATTGCAATTCAATACAAAATCGATTAAAAGAAAAAAATTTATGAGTTTTTGAAAAACTTGATTTCCAAGCACGACCGTAGGTATCTATTTTATTTTAGTTTTTCGCCATAACCATAAGCAGCTCTGAGGTATTTCGCTACGTTTTGAATAAGGCGTTATGGTTATCAGGACGAAAAAAGAACCTCAGTTTTGCAAATATCCCACTGAAATGCGGTACGCGATCGTCTTTTTTTATGTATGTATGTATGTGTGCATTACTGATTTGTAAGAAAATTTGAAGATCGGACCACTTAGGGCATAACAGTTTTTACTCTACGCAGAGTAGAAGGTCATTGGTGATTTTTTGGATGCTTTTCAAAACCATTGTATATAGATCATAGATATATTCCTTGCATAGTGCTATGATCTTTTGCCTTCTGTCATTGTGCTTCATAATTCCCACACCACCTCACCCCAAACACCACACCCTTTCAAACCCACCAAAAAATAGTTGATTTAAAAAAAATAATCAGCCTCATTGCGACCGGCACATCGAGTGCAAGTCGTTTTCAGAAGTCGAGTCGTGTCGAAAATTGCATGACATTGTCTAAAATTTCGTTTGAACTAATGTATTAAAACGGAAAAGCTTGGCAGCACTGGATATTTTTCGGCGATTTTCGTCGTCTACTTATTTTTGCACGACAGTGGCAATGTCAATTTTGTCGCAATTTAGTCTAATTTACGACTTAAGCACGGAGGCTAAATAATTTTGCAAAAAAGTCTTAACCCTTGACGAACTTTTTATCTAATATGGTCACCTTTTAATTAGTGGTTTTATTGAAAAAATTTTAATGCAGTTTTCCTAAATATTTTTATTAAAGTTTATCTAGAAACAATTTTTACAGTGACTATTTTTGAAAATTTTTGCCAAGCTATGTATATTAATTTCAATTGAAAGTTTGAAATTTCTGGATTTCCTAATTTATCTGCTGAAAAATTAAAAGGAGCAGCCTTTGTAGCAACAAAATTGTAAATAGCCTTTTGTTTTCTCTCTTTATTGAGTTCTCCCATCCAAATGGTAAATAGTTCACTACTGATAAAAAAAGTGCCATTTCCCACAAACCCCAAAAAACTGCAACATGAAATGGACGAATTAAAATCAAAAACCTTCATTTGTACATTTTTGATAGTCTAAACATTGCAAATTTAGGAGGAAAAAAAATATTAAAATTTATGTCAAAAAAATATATATATATGTATATAAAAATACCAGCTACAAATACCTGTTTTTTCATTATAAATATTCTACCTTTTTGTTAATTTTTTCGATAATTATTATTAAAAATGGTTGTTCGATAATAGCTAAAAACAAAAACAACATTAAATAGATTCCAATATTTTATTCACAGACAACGACTTCGACCGTCTGCCAAGCGTTTGTCGGTCCTTTTTTACAAAAATAAAAAACACAGTTAGTTGGTCTGAAGCTTTCTTTATCAAATACCAAGGACAAAAAGTAAATTTTTGTAAGCACGAAAAACGAATTTTTGCCTAAAAAACTGATCAAACTACCCGAATGGAATGTACCATTAATGAAGTTATGGTTTTGAAGTCGTTTGAGGCGAAAAACAACGTTTAAGATTCTTGTAAAGAGTCCAATTCTCAGTAAATATTTCGACTATGATTGTGCGTCTACCGCTGCATTGAATACCTAAAGTTTGCAAAATGTTTTCTGCTTATGCGCACGCCACTCCTCTAACTGTATTTTTACTTTGCTTTTAAATATTCATAATTATCTGAAGAATTTTTGTATATAATAAAATACTCAAGGCGAATTAATATAAGGTGATAGCAGGAGTACAAAAACAAATATTTACATGTATTTTGTTTTTGCTTTGGCGGCATAAACTGTCAAAATCTGTAAGAGTGTGTGTAGAAATTCAAACAAAATTTTTCAATTTGATATCAGAAGCCGTGCGGCGAAACACATACACAAAATCAGCTGAGCTAGTAACACAACCTTATATAAATTCGCCTTGAAAATACTCAAAAATAAATGACTACGAGTAACAATAAAAACTTAAAACAAAATATATGACGTGAAAAAACATAAATTCTATTAAGATAATATTACAGTATTTCGAGAAATAAAGTTATTTACTTATAGTTGAGATATTGCTAAAATAGTTAACAAATACATTGGGCCGTATGAATAAAAATAAGCAATTGCTTTTTCTTAAAATTTCAGATCTTTTACTCAATTTATTCAAACAAAATTGAAGTAAAAGGTATGAAAGTTTAAGAAAAAGCAATTGCTTAGTTTTTATTCATACGGCCCATTACATGCTTTACTTTAAAAAAATATCGTTATCTGATAAATTTATAACTCAGTTTTTTCCTTATGCTTGAACGTTTCCATCAGAAAAACATATCGACTACAGTATATTCCCTTTTGTAAAGGTCAGGTCCGCATAATCGTGATGCCGATGAGAAAGATATTTCACCAGGCCTATGTGCATATACGTATCTGCATGCCCCTAAAATGCTTCAAAAAAACGGCTGAAACTGTGCTTCAACAGTCCGCACATTCGAGCAACAACACCCACTTCGCTTTTTCACTGCAAGAAGCCTAAACCTCCCCTACAAAATCCTTAGCAACTCTTTTCACCACCTGGTAGAAAGGGTACAGCTCGGTATTCAGAACTGTCAGAAGACAGCACTACGGACAGCCACCGGATGCCTTCTGATGTCGCCAGAGCATCATCTCCATAGCGAGGTCCAAATGCCCCAAAGGCCTGGCCTGTCAGGGAGCATAACATTATGATATGCAAGCTAGTAGGTTGCCACAGACGAGAGCACCTGAATAGACACAGGTGCTTTCGGAGGAGCCTTCACCAAGGCACGTCAGAAGGCATGTCTACGAACTGAAGGACGAGTTCTAGACGTACATACAAAGACCAACCACTGGACCAGACTCTGTATAGACAGGTCATAAATGTCACTCACAGTTAGTATGTCTCAAACTACATCAACTCCCAACCTGTGAATGCCGTTTTAGTAGAACTACCACCTACGGTTGGCGAGACAGAGCTTCAACTGCTTCGGGAGACCCGCAACGCACATGCTCAACTTCTTACTGACTGGCTACTGTACTGCAACAGACATAAGTGCTGAACACATTGAAATCAACGGACCACAGCTTCTTCATTATCTAGTTAGATGCTTTGTCGATGGCGAAATGAATTTTTAGAACGCGGCAGCGATATCGTGGATTTGCTTGAGTTTGACATACAACAAGGGAAGAATCTTATCTGTCGCTAGAAAAATATTAACAGATCTAATCTGGCCACAGCTACATATTTGGCTAGTCTACATAAGAGTACATGTTAAAATTAAACTTGACAGCTGTAGCCCGTCGTTTCCAATGTGTGTTCAAGCTTTAACTCAGACTTTAGCAGAATAAGTACTCTGGAGAGACTCCGCTTGACTTAAATCATATCTTCACATGCCCGCTTGGTCCATCCCCATCGGATTGGTATGCTTTCTGTGCCTTCCGTTGGCTTAGCTTGACCACAACGATTGAGGGACGTTTTTGTATGAAATACTACTTACTTTAAGGTGATTGTCGTGTCGGTGTAGGCTCGCTCCGCTGCTTTCCTCATAGCGAAAACCTCTGCTTGAAATATGCTGCAATAATCAGTAACCTTAGTGCCCACCCGCCCAACATTCAGTTACCGGCACCCACTGCCTTTACCATTTTAGAGCCGTCCGTGAAGATGTTTAGAGATCTACGACTAGGTTTTATTCCCAGCGATGCCCGAGATATGAATAGTTTTAGCAGCATTCCACCATACCAAAGCGCCATAGAGCAGTATTAGTGCGACTTTTGCTGTGTTTAACCAATGCATTGGGTCAGGTGACAAACCTCAAGTGACTCTCAATATTATTTTGCATGTATATACGGCGTTACTGCCTTTCTTTAGTCTTTCCTCAACATTGCGCCACCGCAGCAGCTTACTGTTGTCCAAGAGTACTCCCAGATACTTTGTGTGGTCTTTAGTTAACAGTTCGATGCTACCCAGCCTCGGGGATTGCCACACTGCGACCTCATATCTTCGGTAAACTATTTCGAAAAGAAATTAATCACGACGCTCTTAAGTAATTTGCGCCTTCCTATCACCGAACAACATCTCATTTTTATGTGCTTATATACATTGATGTTCATAATACTCGTATTAAGAAAAATTAAGTTTATGCGTTTAACGAGTCAATGTTTTCGTGAAGATGTTTTGAATTCAGATAATTATGACTTATAAATAACCCACATGTAAATATTAATAAATCAATGTTGCAATACTTTTTACTGTTTGTAAATTTTCATATGTGTTTTTATTTAATGTCTATTGAGCTTTTCATCCACAATATACCACGCCATACATTTTAACATTTTGCAAACTTTGTGTAAATGTACTTCCAAGTTTCCGCTGTCGAAATTTAATTTGCATAACTTTTAAGCTACACATGATATGTAATTTAAATAAAAATGTTTTCGTAAATTATCTGCAAATCTATGATAACAAATGCTAGCTATAAAAGCCAACACCAACACCTAGCGCAACAGAATATTATTACTGTGCAAGCACTCGGCAACGCTTTAGAAAATACTGAAGCAATTTTATTTATTAACCTTATTAAACCGAACTGATTTATAAAAGCTAAAGTTTGTTTTAAATTTTCTTTATACCAAGATTATTTACATAAAAGTGTGCGCTAAGATGAAGTAAATACTACCAGTATGATCCGATGTAAACGATTTAAAATAGTAAACGCTTAGTCGATTTGGAGACGGAATCCAAAAACTAACCGATCATATTTCTTTAGAAAAATAGAGGAAAAAATAATTCGCAAATTCTCTTATGGAAGTAAATCGAATATGGTGGTGTTCAAACTTGCCTAGTTATCAAGTTATCTGGTTAAAAATGGTTATGTTGTGTATTTTATTGTTGTAAAATGAAAAAAATATATATATATAACCACAACCACATAATCAGGCAAGTGTGAACCACCCACAACGTTACACGAAATTGTAAGTCCGTTTTGCTAAAAATAATTCCTCATAAAAGTATTTATTTATGTATGTTATGGCATCTCGCGAGTCGGTTTGGATGTGTCAAATAAATATGTGCTGGTTACATGGACATCACTCTGAATTACTCAACTGTGTGCAGTCGAACGGCGAGTCAACACCTATACAGATGACTCGCGACCGTCTTTGGTGCCTATAAGCCTGTTTGTGTTATTTTTATTTTTTTTGAAATTCTATAATAAGAGTGTATTTATTTCGACTGAAACGCCTGGGAGTTGTTTAGTTTGGAAAATTGGAAGGTTCGACCTTCATATGGCACCGCTAGGGACTAAACAGTCTATTATTAGGCGTGGAAATTTTTTCCTTTTTAATATTCCACATATCGATTGTTCTATTGCAATAACGACACAAATCAAAATTTCATGTAATCTAGCGGATTAGGTTGAAATCTGGATTACTCCGGTTTATTTTACCTTGTTAAGTTATATGCCAATTCGTCCAATCCACAATTTGCTGTAATTTGTAAATAACCAATTAAGTTATGTGCACTTATTTTATTTGTGTTACACATGTGTATTATAAATAATGGAATCAGTAAATATGTATATATTGGTTTTTTACCTATTAGGCTATTTCGGCTATTTCCAGTTTTAAGGCTTACCCCTAATTTGCTTTAGTATTACTTACATTCCCACTTATTGAGGAAAGTGTGCATCATAGCATAAATGTTTTCAGGTCAAAGCAGATCTTCGGGGCGGAGCGGAGCAAGGATCAAAGAATTTTGGCTGGAGCGGAGCTGGAGGAAAGGGATAAAAAAATTTATTCGCTCGATTGCTCATTAAAAAAAGTTAAATTTTCTTATTTTTTTGCCACTGAAAACAACCGTATTAAATAAATTTTTATTATATTTTTACTTTACAATACTGTTCATTGTAGAATACCTAGCAGTCAGGGATAATTGCCACGAAAATTTAAACGGCGATAAAAAAAAAGAATGACGCAGCAGAGAAATGTAAATTTTGCCGACAGTGCGGTTTCGTAAATTCTCCATATCCAGAAACGAACGGAAAGCGATTAAAATTTTCGTTCTAAACGTATCCAAAAAAAGTTCAAAAAATAGTGCGATTTTCGGTATCCGGAAATGAACAGAAAACGACTAAAATTTTCAGTAATATTCTTATCCGAAAAACGTTCGAAAGCGATGATGTTATTTGAAAGCAATAATTGTATTTTATTCATTCAAGCTGAACATTTGCGTAGTTGGCATTGGCTGAGTATGCAGAGGATCGTGTCAGCATTTCTTAGCTTTCTTTTCTGAAGGTGTCGGGTTCGAATGACGTCAGGCGTTTCTTTAGTTCTGTCTGGCCGTTGGCCTCAAATACAACATATCTGTGAAGTTTCAACAGTGTGCCACCAAATTACAAAAAAAAAATTGCAGCCTGCAGAATATCTGTCGCAGCTATTTTGTAATTTTTGAAATTTTTAGATTGTTTAATTTTAGTAATTTTAGATATGTACTTCAAAATGTTAAAATTAAACGCGAAAATGCAAAAGAAATACTGTGTAAAAATCTTCCTCGCCAATATTTAATAACTTTTAAATTACTACAATCCTCTTCAGTTAAGGCGCGCGAGTAAACGTGGTATGCATGGTGTTACGGGGCGTATACGTTTCATAAACGACTACGGGTATATGAGCGCGTTTTGTTATTTTTACTTTTTTTAATATATCTTTTTAACCGACTTCCAAAAAAGGAGGAAGTTATCAGTTCGTTGGAATATTTTTTTTTTTTTGTATGTATGTTACCGCATAACTTTGGACCACGTCAAGCGATTTCGATAATTATTTTGGCATCGGAAAGTTAGTGTCTCAGAGGTAGTCCCATCCGAAACTGGTTCATCGGATCATGAGATATATATATATTTTTTTATATGAGAATTGAAGGTAGTTTGTTTTTGCTAAAAATTACTTGTTTCAGTTTTCTTTTAAATACAATTTCGCGATGGAATCTTGTTCTAAGATAAGCGTGCTACCAAAAACACTCGTAAAATTTTCTCATATACTGAAACACTCTTATAATTTATGTTCTTTATACATTTGTTGTATTTGTCTTTAATGCTGACTAAACATGGGGCAACCGTGTAGGCAACTTGATTTTCTTGCTCAATACACACGAGGCAACCGATTCGGCAACCAACACAAAATATCAAAATAATTTGATTTTCGTGCGACGATTGCAGCAACACGACTTTCAACAATGCGATATACTAGGCAATGGTCGAAGCAACATTCCCTAGTTGCTTCAACGGTTGCCTTGTGTGTAGTCAGCGTAAAGTATTATAGGATTAACTACACTTGAATAAAAAAATTAATAAGCATTAAACAAACAAGAGAAAATTAGTCAAAACTGGTCAAACTGTCGTGACCCTATGTTTTTCACGCGACTGTATGTGATTTTATAACGTTTTTCCACAAATTCTTATATCGTTGTAAATCAACGACTCTTAAATGTATGTACTACTACATACATCTACTACTTCTCTGCATTAAAAACATTTTGCTAGCAAAAAAATTATTTCTTCTTATAATTGCAGTATTTTGGAGTCCAAAAAAAGTTTAATACTGCAAAAAAAGTATAGCTACGAGTCTTATGTATAACTAAAACCACTATTAACCACTAAAAAATGTTTGGACCAGTAAACTAATATGAAAAATTATAATGTATATGAAAATATTTATCAAAAAAAGGTTTAAGCAAAAAAATCATTTTAAACCTATTTTATAAAAAAAAACTAAAATATAGGCGCGAATTATTAATACGTTTTAGTTTTAGGTTAGATGTGTAATCAATGTTTAGTTTTAAAATTTTCAGTTTAGAGCACTATATTTCCCCTTGTCTTTGTTAATTTGTATGTTTCGATGGACATATGTATGTATGTATGTATGTATAATGACTACAAAAATATGAACATAACAATTTATGTTCTTTATACATGCAAATAGAAATTATTTTACTAATTTGAGCAAAAAAAACAACACTAAACGCTGCTTAAGCACTTTTTTGTATTAATTCACACAAAACATATACGCCCCAAAAGTGTAAAAACTCTCTTGCTGTATTTGAGCTAAAATATGTTTTTTTTTTGGGATTATTGCTATTTGCTTTATTTAGTATTAATTGCTTTTCGCAAACAAATACCTTTACATTGTCAAAATTGCATTAACAATTTCTTGTATACGCCATCAAGTAACAACATTTTTTTTCTACTTCTTTTGCAGTTCAATCTATCATTTTGACCCATCCAATCTGCCACCTAACCAACAGCCAACATACCATCCAAATCAAGGCAACAATACCGCCAACTACGCACAACAGCAATCGCCACCACAGCAGCTGCAAGCGCAGCCACAGCAACAACAAACGCTCGATACCAATATAAAAAAGAATAAAGGTACACATCAGATATCATCACCATCACCTGTTGCATCACCGGCCACAACACCAACACCGATGCCACAGCAACAAATTCACTGTAAGAACGTGCCATGCAATGAAAGTGTTGTTACCATTCCGCTTGCTGAATCTGTATCTGAATCCTCAACCCAGACGGTGGCTATGTGCGGCGATGTAAACTGCGATGGAATTGGCATGGAAATGGCAATGAATGCCACTGAAGGTATGTGTGGCATGTGTGTGTGTGTGTGTGTGTGTGTCGCATTGCATTCAAAATTAAATTTCCCAAAAATTCTATGTCCTTACAGAAGCGTCCACCCAATTGAGTGCTGACGAGTGCGATAACACATCTGCCACTGGTTGTCTGAGCATTACCACCACAACTTCCACCAAAAGTTATGATCGTATCGAGGTGCAGAAATTTAAAAATCAAGCAACTAGCCCTAATATTCCAGCTGAAAAGGAGGATTTGTCAAAGCGTGAAGTAAGTTTTGCAATTAATTGCCTGCGTAATCATGTATTAGTAATTTTTCTTTCCATTCTCCGCCATAGAATTTAGTAGCATCTTTAGATGCCACAAACATGCAAGCAGCAGCAACGCAGCCACCAGCACCACCACCACCACAAAGTCAAACGCCCACAAATAGTGTCAACGTACCATTGCAGCGTGAGACACCACATTCTGCGCGCTCAACACCGTTCAGTACCAGCGAGTCAACAAGTCAACCGAAGAATCGCGCTTCCGAAGAACCTAAACCCACTACGTGGACATATACGCAAAGTTACCAGGCACCAGACGGTTCCACGGTATTTCATACCACCACAACACCCAGTGGCACACCATATTGCACTACAACATATCAGCAGGGGGTAAGGAAGAAGACAGAGTGGCAGCATGCATTAGCAAATAACGAACATAATTATTTTGTATTTTGTTCTTCTATTCACCAGCCTGATGGTAGCGTTTATGCCATTCCACAGGGCATGGTTTATGCCTATCCGCCGCCAGTTGTAAGCCACGCACCGCAGAAACAGTTGAAATGTCCATTCAATTCGTTGTCTGTTTTGCAGGAGGGTGAAGTGCAGAGCTATTTTATGCCTGTATTTGATCCAAATCAGCCCCGTACCGATGCCACCGGTCTCATACAAGCTGGAGCACAGGCCATATATCCGACTGCAGCTGCAGCAGCGGCCGGAAGTACAGCTACAATGGTACCAGTCGCAGCCGCATATCCGACCGCACAATTTGCCACCGCCAATGGTACGCCCATCTACGCTCCGGGTCAATTGATATATTCGAGCGATCAATTTGCAGCAGCAAGTGCGGCGACAGTTGCTGCAGCAGCACCGGCGAATGGACAACTGCAACAGATACCGATGACCACCTATCCAATCGGATATCCGTATGCCTATAATGGTGAGTGAATCGATTGGGTGGAGGCAAAATGATGAAGATATATGCAGAAATAAAGCCTAAAAGGAAGATATTTAGAAAGAGAGACCTGGAGCTTCAAGTAAAAAAATTTAATGAAGTTTGTTGGGAAACGGGTTTAGCTGAATGTTGAGTCGGATATATGCACAATTTAAGAATGTCCATATATTTTTTTATATTTATCGAAAATTTCTCGACTCATCGATATCGATCATCGTTATCGATATCAGTATCAAGGTTATTGAAAATAGTATTCATATTTGCATTAGTAAAATTAATCGTTAGAGAGCTGTCGAAGGCATAAATTGCAGTAGGAGTTAAAAGTTTAATCTATCTAAAAACTTCCTAAAGAAATACAATTTTATATAGAAAAACAGTTATTTAATGTACATATATTGCTTTTATATTTTTCCTGCAGGTTACTGGAGTCAACCGATGACCTACTATGTGCCACAACAAGCGCTCACCAATGCAGTTACAGCCACTCCGCTCTTACCAGCACCGCCACAGCCACAACCCCCTACAACAGCAACCGCCCAATCTGTGGCCGGACCACACATCACTAGCGGTATAAATATCGCGAATGGCCTTGTTGCAGCCACACCGGCGGCTGGACCGTCGTCGAACACCACCGTAGGGTCATTAGGCAGTAGAGTAGCCATCTTGGCGGCATTCATACAAGTGGAAATCACGGTGTTGGTGCATCTGCATCCACAAACAGCTATCAGACGCATAGCGGTACGACGTACTTTGGTACGGGGCGTGTTAAGCGGCCGACTTCCTCGCATTACGCCAGCCACCAAAACAGCGGCCATCAACTGGTTACGGCAGCTATCCCCAGCAACGGCAATGCAACTACCACATATCAATTAGGACACGCAGTACCCACACTTACATTGGCGCATGCACCGGGTGGTGCAGCAGCAGCAGCAGCCGCCGCCGCTGCGGCAGCAGCAGCTGTGAATACATCAACTGATCTCAGCATTGGCAGCGGAGCAGCTCCAGCCACAACCATGTATACGTTGCCTCAACATGCGGCGCTCCTGCATGCGAATATATTTCCATATGCGCCCGCCGCCGCTGCCGCAGGAGCAGCTGCAGGCATTGCCGCTGGCACACCACAAGTGCACACACCTGGCGCTCCACCAACGGCGGCAGCACAATTAGCTGCCACCGGATTGACTGGCACAGCGGCTCATGCACAACAAACAAATGCTGTGATCACCCCATTCTATGCTCATCACCCGCCCATGACAGCTGCCACACATCCCTCACATGGCAGCACCGTGCATACGCCCGGGCCGGCTGCCATACCGATTGTCGATCCCAGCACGCTCACGGCCATCTCGCATCAACACCAGCGGTGCAAGCAGCACGAATAATGTAACGCCAGTGTACAGCGGCGGTGGTGGCGGAAGCGCTTCACAATCGGCGCCCAGCACGCCACACTCTGTACCTAATCAAACAGCACAGCGCAATCCGCCACTCTTCTCCACACCGCCTATTTTGAACTCGAATGGCGGCAGCAATAGTGGTGGCTACAGTGGCAGCTCTACACCACAGTATTACACCGTGACCAGTGGACCAGACGGCAGTACAACGCTTATGAGCAGCCCACATGGCAGCTCTTATGTGCAACACGATAAACGCAACAACAATACAAATATGGGTGGCAGCAAAAAACCACCGGCGTATCCAAGCAACTCGCTAAGTCGGCAAAATTCTACATCCTATAATGGCGCCTCAAATGGCAAACCCCTCTACTAAGCGGCAACAATGATACGCGCGCCTCTCCCGGCAGCAGCAGCGGCGGCTATCAGGGCTCACGTCCGCATAGCATGAACAAGCGTGGTGGAGGCGATAAACCGCAGACACCGCTGCTTAGTGGTCCACCTAGCTATGGCAGCGGTCCAACCGTGTCTGCTATGAGCAGCAATAACAATAGCGGCTATCACGTGCACCACAACAACTCACCATCAGATGCCAAGCCGCCTATCCGATTGAATGCGGGAGCAGCTACCTTCCGGCAAAAGGGTAGCGGCGGAGTGGCTTATGAATTTCGACGCAGCGCTTCGCAACGTAACTCGCCAGGTACTGGGAACTCAAGTAGCAACGACAATAGCAATAATACATCACCGAACAGTATAGTCGGATCGAGTGGGGGCGGTGTCGGTGGTGGTGCGAACACACCCAATTGCTATGCCACTGGTGGCTATGTGAACACTGGCATCGGCATAGCTGGCGGCACTATGGTCGCTGGTGGTGGCGATCATCAAGCGATGCAACAGCAACTGGCACACCATTGTACATTGCGCCAGCACGTGGCGCACACATTCCACCACAACTGCAACACGGTGGTATGGTGGCGGCCGCTGCTGCTGGCGGCACGGCAGCCGGACTGGCGGGTACACAACAGGCCACCACAGCTGCAGTGTTAGGTGGCGCCGCGGCAGCAGAAGTGGCGAATGCGGCTGCAGCGGCCGTGGCGGCGACAGTGGCGCATCATCAACCGCTTTTGAGCGCTTATCAGCCAGGTGCATCGGGCGTTTACATCAAGTATGGCCAAACTTATTTTGCACACGTAAGTAGTCAACAATGAATATTAGAACGATTAAGGTCAGTGATCTAAGTTTAAACTGGCACTGAAAAACTGGCCGTTAAAGAATTGTTGCCAGCCACGTTAGATAGCTGGTCAAGATCGGCTTTAAGGAACAACATTTGAATATTTTTCCTGGCCTGTGTTGTTGTAGCAGCATACAAATTCCCCAAAGACTTTTTGGGGAGTGTTGCTGGAGTGACAGTCCTTGGCCAGATATAAATCTGGGTCGTTCCGGTTACGTAGACCCGACTGTCGTGGGAACGTTTTTCCTGGCCTCATTAGACCTGCTTCGAATACATTCGCAAGCACAAATTCCAATTACAAAATTTTACACTAGAAATACGATTGATTATGTCCCCATAGATAGTCCCATATAGGCCGCCTCGGTATTCTCATCAGAAACCCACCAAGCTTGGGATCCTGTTCTTTAGGAATTATATCCTTGTATTGCTCACTAACTGAGAAACTCGGTAGCCTTATGCCGTTCTGGATCGTTATTTATCTACCTTCTGCTATTAAGGATTAAAGGCCAAATTCTTTTATTTTTCATTAAAAGGATTTCCGCAAATTTTTTTCTATTGCAACTAGTAACTCTGTTAGGATTTCACATATTGGCAAAGCAATTACTAATGTATTCGCCTTCTCGTGATACTTTTAGCCCTCAGTCGCTTTACCGAACAGCCGCCGCTCACCCTCAACAGAGTTGCGACCTGCAATGGCGCCCGTTGCTGGCATGTATCCAACTGTCAATATGATGATACCAGGTTCGTAAAGATGCTTACTTTCTCACCAACAAGTCTATTAAATTTTAATTTTATTATAGCTGCTCCACGACATACGCAAGGGCGTCATCCGAATCCCAACTATAAGGGTACGCGGCCACGTTAAATGCAGCTGTACACTGTCCAGCAGCAGTCACAAAAAATATGAAAAATCAGTGCTAACTGTGTCAAAACAACACTAAAAGAGCAACTGAACAGGAGGAATATGCAAACGATGACGCTATACCAAAACCTAAAACTAAGTTTAAGCTAAAAATACCCTAACCTAGTGAAACATATGCGTAGATAAACAATAATTTAAACAAAAGAAGAAACAAAAAAATAACAGAGCATATTAGTGAAAACGAAGACATAAGAGACAACAATAGAAACAAACGAGTTAGGCGGAAGCAAAAAAAATAAACAGAAATAATCAGATAACGACAATTCGTGGCAAATACCTTACCTACATACATACATTTAGAGTTAGTTAAGTAACTGCAACAGGACAAAGGAGCGAAATTTTGAAACACAAAAAAAAAATAATATTTTCCGGGCCATTTTACAGAAAAAAAAATATTTGAAAAAGATTAGAAACATCCACAATTTTGGCATTACACAAGTAGAATCGACGAATCAGTTACGAAAATCAAATCAACCAATTGCATCCATACATATGTACGTATGTAGACAGATAGAAAACCTACCTAAACTCAACAGCAATAGCCAATTTGAAAGTACAGCAATGCATCATACATACAAGCTAAGAATCTTCCACAAGCATAAAGGTAAAGATAATACGAAATNAACATGTAAACATACAGCAAACAACAACAAAAAAAAACAACAGAAAAGCAAACGAATACAAGGTAAACACGAATCCATAAATTAAAATGACACAAATAAAAAGAGACTGACTTGAGTTGCATATTGGCAAAAAAAAAAAAAAATGGAGTGCAGAAAGGAAACGGAAATGAGTAGCGCCTAGGCTAGCTTAAAGCAATATGAGTTAATGATATGGAAATGCTTAAGCTGTATTGGATGAAAACTTAGTTGTGATTATAAAAATAAACATATTTTTTGTTAGTATTAGCATTGCGCTATTACTGTTATTGAAATGCTATAATTGTAAATAAGTTTTTTATTTTTTTATTTTTACCAACCATAAAGGTTTACATTCATAAACTCTTAAAGACATGCATAACACCGCATGCCGTAATTTACAATAAATTTTTGTTACTTACATATATTTGGCTTCTTAAAGAGGTGCTAATGATAGATATTTTGAATTACACGATATTAAATCATGCCACAGCGACTTATTTTGTTCTGAGAAATTTTGTTCAATGTTTGTATTTTTAGTGATTATTAGTATTTTTATTAAAACTGAAATTCTAACGGATACCCATGGCTATCGTCTGCTTTTTGTTAAATTTACGAAAATGCGATCACTGAATACGAAATGCTACGAACTTAGGTGTTTAAAGTATATGCAACGTTCGTAGCTATTAAAATTCTGTGATAGAATTTTGGTAGATTTCACAAAAAATCGGACTACGATAAATTCAGTGATAGCTCCAGTGCTACAACAACAGCAGCAGTTTTCCCATTTGTACATAAATCATTTCAAAGCTACTTTATTTGTTAAATATTTGTCTGTAAGGATTTTATTTGTTTCCTTTAATTTTTCCAAAATCTATTTGTTTTTTGATTAACACTGCACAATATTAATGAAAAATATGTTTAAATGCTAAAAAGAAAAAATTATTTTCTTCCAACCCATATTTTCTGCCGACCAACGTAAAAGGTTTTGGCTCATAGTGCTTTGCGTGCGTCAAAAGATTTGACGAAAGCCTGTAGATAATATCGTGACTCAAAGTCGCACTTAACGCCTGCTTCCGGCAAATGCCAAGCAATGGCTACAAAACAAATACTTCATTTCTCATAAACCAGTGAATTTATATATAAATCTTCTCGAGACACAAAAGCTTAAAAAGCTGCAGCACTAAGCGCATATGTACGTTACCAAGCACAATCGAAGCTATCCCATGCATGTAACCAGTGAAATCAATGCGCCAATACAACTGTAACAGTCAGTCAAACAGTCAGTGTCTTTTTAAACAATATATTATATATAAAATATAAAAAAAAAATAAATAAAATTACACGCTAAAGTAATATGAATTTTATAGTATGTAAACAATTTTACTATACATAATAAAAAAATACTAATAATAATCCTAAAGGTAGACTTACATACAAGCAGAGGAAGTAAACACCTAGTGAATAATGAAAGACGCAAACCGTGTACTAAATTAAAATTAAAATTAAAAATTAAAAATTAAAAACGAAAAATTATGTAATAATTTAAAAATCATAGCACTTATGTATGTATATCGGCTGACTACTACTAAACACTCACAAGAAAAAACGATTCATAGTTTTCTATATCATACACACGCACACACACACTCTCTACCAGTAAGCAAACAAATAGCCCAACCAAATCAACAAAATTTCAATTACCCGCAACTCAATCGAACACAGCGTGAAACATAGGGCGTATGAGAGCCATCACCCTCGCTCGCTGACTCTCCTGCCAACCACACAGTGAGCAGTGCGCAAAAAAAAAACCAGCTAGGCGTTGCTTGTGTACTGGTTTGTTGGTTATACGAAAGCTTTAATAAATGTACACTACAGTACGCGTTGAGAACAATAAATTCTATTCAAAAAAATTATTAGCTTATAGTATGTTTTCTAACTACGTAAAGATTATTATTAAGAATTTTACACATCTGGCATGCGCGCAAATGATAGAAAAAAAACTTTGTAATTTATATGCATTAAAATTAGAAAAAACACTAATTAAAATTCAAATTCTAAAATCTTTCATAGTTTCGAAAACAAAGTGATAGACTATTTAGAGTAACTGCCTAACGCACTGGTTACGCCTACTGCAATTGCCTTGCTCCATGGCTCAATGAAACGCTGCTTTTTTGGTTTAAATTTTTATTTCTCTATCCTACTCACAAGCACTATTTTTTTTTTACTACTTTTAATATGTCGAAAACGACGTGATCTGTTACGTAAAGCCACCTGTGAAACACTATTATATTATGAAATACTATTAGGGTCAAGAGAAGCAAAAGACGGCGCTGTTTTANTCGCAACTAAATTACACTTACAGACAGATACATACATACATACTCGTATAGTTTACTATATGTATAAGCCATATACTTTATTTATATTAATTATAATCATATATATATATATATATATAATTATTTAATATACACATATACATATATAAACATATATGCTTAAGCATATATAAAAAAAAAGAAAATAAAAAAAATAACTATGAAAGTCCAATATTAGAGAATATGTTATTATTATTTATGTTTATTGATATGAAATTTATTTAAATAAACAATTAATATTGGAAAACAAGAAAATGTCTAATGTTGGTTCTCAGTTGGTGAATATATGTGGCTTGCGCCAAAATTGGTTACCGTTTACTTTGCGCTTTGCAATCTCAAATCGTGTGCGCTCTAAAAGGCTTTTTTTATTGTTAAAATATTTGGTATCGAGTAAGTATTTCGCTATGATTTCCAGTGAAGAGTGTCAGAGGCGCAGCGCTTAGCTCTGGCATGCCGACTGTTAAGAAGGATTTCGGTTGCAATCGGGTTTCGAAAATTTTGTATGTATTTATGAATTTTAAGAATGCGAAACTTCCGTACAAGTTCATATTTAAAAAATAAGCACATTTCAAAGAAATCGCTCTGAACTATCAGCTGGCATAGTAAAGATTTCTAACCCCACATAGTATAGGTTTTTGCGCATAATAATTTCCAGCCGAAATAAAATATTTTAACAATTTCGGTGATATGCTGTTGCCTACATTTAGGCTGAAAATGGTTAAAGCCATGATATACTTATACACTGTTTGCTTTATAGAAGCATTTTCGGAAAAATTTAAGCTTAGAGTACCGTTACTAAAGTGATTTCATTACATCCTAGGGTCCTAGATCCTAGGTAAAAACATCTTTTTCACAGTACATGTTGTAAAATTCACCGAGGCAAAGCGAATGAGTCTGGTGGTCAACGAGGACAGGACGAAGTATATCCTGTGATCAAAAAAAAAAAAAAACAGTGTAAAGCTCGTTATGTTGTAAGTAAACTCTGAAAAATTGACTTTTGGGTGCCTTAATCATTGAAATCGACCTACATATCGTCGCTCGAATAAAGAAACAGTGTAAATGCCACATACACTATTATTCGATAATTGTACCATTGGATAGACAATCCTTTAATCTATTAGAAAAGTCTTTAGTTTTCTTAAATATCTCTTTGGCTCACTAATTTATTCCCCAAAAACGAAATTGTATTTGTATGGTTTGTAATGGTTTATAAAAACTTCGAATTCGGTTTTCTCAAAACTAAACTTTTCATGTTACACTATTTCATTATTCCAGCGACGATATGAGAGTCGTCGCACGAAAAAAATATGTTGTTTACACTGTGATGAAGTGGAATATTTTTTAAAATGCGAAGATGGTAAATGACATCATTTTTGATATTGTTTGTATGTTTGAATATGTAGGTCTAGCCTGTGTCTAAGAATATTTCTTTGAAAAAATCGGCGCTTTTCTGTTAATATAGCTGTTAGAAAACAAAGCTTACAAATGATTCAAACTTCTTATCGCCTGCTGACTCGCAACTAGTTATCCTGCAATACATCCCCATATAATTTGACACCATTTTCAGTCCAAATACTCAAGTGTATGTCTGAACCAATTGCTGCTTATATGAGCTCACTCGTGAGATTGCATGTTAAATTTTTCGTCAAAAGCGTGTTTTTAGGCGAAAATTGTGTTGCGCCTATCTTAGATAATGCATTATCTTCAGTTTTGTATAAAGATCAAGATTCCATCGCGAAATTGTATATTTAAGTGAAAACTTAAAAAATATATATACGAAAAAAAAGTAAAAACTAGTAATTTTTAGCAAAAAAAAAACCGACTTCAACTCTCATATAAAAAAAAAAA